CTACTACTACTACTACTACTACTACTACTACTACTACTACTACTACTACTACTGCTGCTACTACTACTAGGCCTACTGCTACTACTGCTGCTGCTACTACTACCTGTAGCCTGCCCACCAGACCAGCATAATATGTCTCATATGGTAGAAAAAGTGAACTTGTATTAGAATGGTTGATAAAAAGAAGGGTGCCACACTGTGGCCCACATAGAACGTTATACTTATATACTAAGACTTGATTTCACACATTTTAAAGACTTGACACTATGGCACATTCCGACAATCAATATGTCCATGCAGCATGCTAAAACATGGTATAAGTCGATAGCAGACTTATTCTATACCAGATATTGTCAATCTGATAAAATGTAACGTACCGCGTAATCAAAACAAAACATCAGGCATATAAAGCGAACGCAAATTGAAGCTGCACTCATCGAGGTGCAGGTTGTCCTAATATTAGTAATAAGTAATAATCGACTGCTAAAAAGACAACTTACGCATTTCCCGGGGCTCCCGAGAAGAAAATTTACAAAGGACTTGTCGCACACTTCAACACAATAATCATTTATTAGCGAGCGATAGTTATAAATTCATTTACAATCCAATGTTTCAACTTGAAACGAGACTAGATCTAGATCTAGATCTGTCAACTCAAGGCCTAAACAGACTAGGCTACGGAATGCTTGACTGGCTGGTCCAGCCACTTGGAACAAAGTGACACTGAATTTGGTTACACTGTCGCTCGACGCTCAGTCTGTCGCCGTGTGCGTGTCGACAGTGGGGACGGAAGCAAAGTCAGCGGGCGAGAGAGGAGGCGGAAACTTTCAAGAGCGCAGCATGAGGTGACCAAGGCCAAATTCTGCGCTGGAATTCGTGGGGTTTCTTAGGGAAATCCTAAGGTTCTAGGCCTAACTGTTCATGCTGAAAAAACAACAAACATAATAACACCCCCCCCCCCGAGCAACCAAAATGTTGATTGAATACGGCGCTCGCAACTGCATAAGGCCATATGAGCGCCAAGGGGTCATGGGTGTCAACAGAGAAGTCTTTACAGGGAATCAGACTTAGACTGCTCACCTCTCTAGCTTCAACAGCACAAGGTCTGCTTCGACTATCAAGGCACCCCAAAATAGCAGGTCACAAGAGAGTGACAAACATACAAAAGAAGTAGAGGAAAATGACAATAATA